TCGGCACGGTGCGAGCCCGGTCTAATGATGCCAGTATGGAAACCGGAGGAGAATCTCTATCTCTCGGATATAATCTTCCGCGGTTTCGTCTACTTTCTGCTGCTGTTGTACCTGTTCATCGGCGTGTCGATAATCAGCGATCGTTTCATGGCGGCGATCGAGGTGATCACCTCGAAGGAGAAGGAGCTGGTGGTCCGCCGGCAGGGTAAGGAGCCGCAGATCGTAGTGGTGCGAGTGTGGAACGAGACGGTGGCGAATTTAACGCTGATGGCGCTGGGCAGCAGCGCGCCGGAGATCCTGCTGTCGATCATCGAGATCTGGGCGAAGAACTTCCAGGCGGGCGAACTCGGGCCAGGAACGATCGTCGGCTCGGCCGCGTACAACCTCTTCGTCATCATCGCGCTGTGCGTGTTCGTGATACCGAACGGCGAGAACAGGAAGATCAAGCATCTGAGGGTGTTCTTCGTGACCGCGACGTGGAGCATATTCGCCTACGTATGGCTGTACGTGATACTGGAGGTCTCGAGCCCCGGCGAGCTCGAGGTCTGGGAAGGTATACTCACGTTCTCCTTCTTCCCGGCCACGGTGCTCACCGCCTACGTGGCCGATCGACGCCTGCTCATCTACAAGTACCTGCACAAGGGCTACAGGATGAACAAGAGAGGAGTGATCGTGCAGGCGGAGGCCGGCGACTCGGACGGCGGGGTGGAGCTTGAGATCAAGCCGCAGCAGGACAACTTCCACAGCATGAGCGACGCCGACACGCCCGAGGCGAAGGAATTCGAGCAGACCAGGAGGGACTACATCAAAACTCTGCGGGAGCTGAGAAAGAAGCACCCGACCCTGCCGTTGGAGCAGCTGGAGGTGATGGCCCACGAGGAGGTGCTCGGCAAGGGGCCGAAGAGCAGGGCGTTCTACAGGGTGCAGGCTACCAGGAAGATGGTCGGCGCCGGCAATCTCAGCAAGAAGATCAGCGAGAGGGCGCAGAGCGACCTGAGCGAGGTGAAGGCCGAGCTGCAACGGCAGGAGGCTGAGAGCATCGACATCGAGAACGTGAACGCAATGAGGATCTTCTTCGAGCCTGGCCACTACACCGTCATGGAGAACGTCGGCACGTTCGAGGTGGGAGTGACCAGGGCCGGCGGTGACCTAACCAAACCGTGCACCGTCGACTACTGCACCGAGGACGGCTCGGCCGAGGCTGGCTCCGACTACATCAGCGCCAAGGGCACCCTCACCTTCGACCCCGGCGAGACCAAGAAGACCATCAAGCTCTCCGTCATCGACGACGAACTCTTCGAGGAGGACGAGCATTTCTACGTCAGGTAAATTTTGCTACCTATTTCCATTACCATATCAATCAAAAACTACCTCCACTCCATTCCACTCTTTTTTTTTTTTTGCTAATATTCGCGTAACAACGAGTTACTTCAATTAGGTGAAACTGATTGGAAATCGCAACCAGCTCAAAGAGTATAAAAGAGTCTTGTTATTATTATTCCATACTCCGGCGAAGGGAAGATTACACAAGATCTAGAGAATATTGTCAGTAGATATCATCGATGCCTGTTTCGTCGACGGTTCGTAGAACAAAGCTAACTGCGTAGCGCGATGATTCGAGGAAGAAGGGAGGGACAAGTCCGATCCCGGATGCAGGCACGTCGGTCGAACGAGTGGAAAAGATCAAGGACATGTGGGGAGCCCCTAGTTTTATTGCCACGGTCAATAACGACCGTGGAAACTCGAACGAGCGTGTGTCTCTCTGTGTGATCGTCTATTAAAGCCACGAAACGAATTTAAAGATCGCGTCATGCTTTCGCGAGAAATGCTCCCCATTCGAATGTGCGATAAAAGATGCAAGAGTTGGGTGAAACTTTGGCGCGTGAAAGGTTTGCACCACGTGCCTGACCTCTTGGATCCGCTTGGAACTCGCGTAAGACTCTCCAATTATAGCAAGGATTGCAGGATTGTTTTAGTCACACCGACACTGTTTCAGTGGCTCACGGATGCATAGTTACATTGATATTCGGACAGTAAATATTCGAACTGGTAGATACAATTAGATAGAAGCTAAAACGTTTTTATAGCTCGGAGCTTCTACTTTCAATATATACGTCCTTCGATTTATTTCAAGGTGTTTTCTACGTCACAAAGTGAAGACACTTTTCTTCTCGAAAAATCCTATAAACTGTTCACAGGCATTGAACAATTTTTCTCGCGACTGAACCTACGATGAATTTGAGGATCGAAAATTTAACGTACGATTTCTTCTTGCTATTCTATCGAACGAATACGAAAATATTGCGATTTCTTCAATTTTCGTGGGAGCCTGATATTTGAAAGTTCGCCAATAAAATGGCGAAAAGAACAATTGTAAATTTGAAGATCGAAGCCACCTGTTTACAATGATTTTCTCAAATTTGATATACGACTTCTTCTTGCCAGTCTATCGAACGAACACAACTATAAAAATATTTCTTGAATTTTCGTCGTGGAAGCCTGATATTTAAAGGTGAAAGGAAAAATCGTAAAAATTGTCAAGTCTCGAGGAATCGTTGTAAAGGGGAGACTTCAATCATCAAAGTGATAATTCATGGCATTTTTGAGAACAAAATATATTTTACTATATAATAGTTCAATAAAATGGCGAAAAGAAAAATCGTAAAAATCGTCAAGTCTCGAGGAATCGTTGTAAAAGGAAGACTTCAATCGTCAAAGTGATAATTCATGGCATTTTTGAGAACAAAATATACTTTACTATATAATAGTTCAATAAAATGGCGAAAAGAAAAATCGTAAAAATCGTCAAGTCTCGAGGAATCGTTGTAAAGGGGAGATTTCAATCTTCAAACACACGTTGTATCCAGTCACAAATAGCTTGTTCAATGTTTTTATATACCGTGATAAATTCATGGCATTTTTGAGAACAAAATATACTTTACTATATAATAGTTCAATAAAATGGCGAAAAGAAAAATCGTAAAAATCGTCAAGTCTCGAGGAATCATTGTAAAGTGTTCAAACACACGCTGTATCCAGTCAAAAACGGCTTGTTCAATATTTTTATGTACCATGATAATTTCAAGAGCAAAACACCTTGGAAAGTATTTTGAAAGTACAAGCTTCAAGCTTCGAAACTGGCCCGTGTTTATCCATGTTACGAGACTTTGTTTTACGAAATGGCAACAGTTGAAATATTCAACGTCATCGGTTTAAATATTAATGCCAGATTAACTGCATTTAAGCGCTCGTCGACGACTGAATTTGTTCCGAAACTTCAGTCGTTTTAAAAAGTTCAACGTTGATCGAGAAACGTTGTACAAGAAGATTTCAAGGGTACGAATGACACTTGAAATCTTTGGGGCAAGGACGAGCGTCGCAGGAAGATGAAAACGTCGTCGTTCGACGTTCGACGATGAATTGCCTCCGACCGCTGAATGGGTTCGTTCGAAACTCAGGAAGAGACTCGAGGAATCGAGGGAACAATGGGACACATCGTCGTTTTTTTTTTTTTTT